GGCAAGTTGTATTTGATAAAATTATGTATGGTTGTTTATATTTTGTTGCATGTAGTTGTCTCAATGTTTCAAGCAGAATATATATAGGGAAATTATTTTCTACTCCCAGGGAGTAGTTACTCCCATATGTATATCTATAGATTTATGGTGTTTATGGCCCAACAAAGAATGTGTAGACGAAGTATATGATCATACTAAACCATCTAGAGTAGTATGTATGTCAAGTATGCAAGTATACATAGAGTATATGGTCATACTTATTTTATATAGTACTACAGTGGTATTTTAGTAATATATTAGAAAGTATGGGCTTTTTTGAAAAAATCACGTACTAAGATTTGAAGTATCTTAAATTGATTTTATAAACGTACTTAAACTGATAAATTAGTATGCACACATACGTAATGTGGTTTATTAAAGATGGAAATAACTACTCTCGGGAGTAGCAAAATGCACACACACACACACACATATATATATATATATATATATATATATATATATATATATAGGGATAGGAATAATTTGGTTTTTTATATGTATCGGCTTGTTACAAACATGCATTATCTAATATGATTAAATCTAGTGTACTAGGACCACTATGTAAGTTTGCGAGTAACTAAACACGAGTAAACTACACTGCCACAAATCTATCTACAAGCTAATAGAGTCTAGAGACGCCTAGACCTGATATATGCGATGCAGACGGGCAGGCGAGATGGCATCATGATTCTTGAATAATATCAGGGGACGTGTGGGGCTGGCTACGCATTTTTTAGTGACAGGCAAAAAATATCAGCACGTGTATATGTGTGCGCACTTGTTCTTGTAGCTTGAAACTGCTCGATGGGTGACATGAAATGGATAGGAGGAAACGACATAGACACCTTGTTGACGTCATCGAGTCAGGAAGAGCTAGTTGTACTCGAAGGTTGAGGCAATTAAAAAAAAGTCAAGATTGAGCTACAACATCGAATGGTTAAAGCCAAAACACGTCGTTACAAGGGCACGATCGCGTGCAACTCGCAAAGGCATACTCTCTCCGTCCTAAAATAATTATACATCTCGCTTCTCCCAGAGTCAAGCCTTTTTAAGTTTGACTGAAACTATAGAGAATAGTATAAACATTTGTACCTCTAAATAAATTTATTATAAGAGTATTTTCTCCATTCCAAATTATGTCGTAAAATAATTATACATCTCACTTCTCGAGGAGTCAAGTCTTTTTAAGTTTGACTAAAAATATAGAGAATAGTATAAACATTTTATCTCTAAATAAATTTATTATAAGAGTATTTTCTCTGTTCTAAATTATAAGTCACTTTGACTTTTTCAGTTCATCCATTTTACTAGGCATATAAATATATTACTATATTTAGATGTATAGCAAAATAAATATATCGAAAAATTAAAGCGACTTATAATTTGGAACGGAGGAAGTATATTTCATGCTATATCTAATGATAATTATTATACATGGTAAATATAAGTATACTTTTGTATATATTTGGTCAAACTTGAAAGGATTTGACTCCTCGAAAAACAAGATGTGTGTTTATTTTGATACAGAGGGAGTACCTCACAGCGCCTCTACGGAAACTTGTCTAATTGATTTTTACAAACTAAAGAGAGATCACATGGGGGCAAACACTTGCTCTAGTGTTGACCGACCAGCCAGAGCGCTTTCAAGCACCATCCAGATAAGTTTAGAACAACTAGTAGAAAAGATTGGAAGATATTAGAGCTTGAAATTATTTGGCCGGATGATTTTGGAAATCGCCGTGGACGATTTAATTTCTTGAGCATGCATGGTTTTTAAATGGCTATAACCTCCTTTGTCTAAACTCCAAACTAGATGATTGTCTAAAAAGGAGCTAAGTCCAATCTATAATTTGAAAAAAATTACAAGACCGCCTTGGTCGATTTTTCAATAACACCGAGCTTTGCCGGGCAGTTCAGGGTGGCAGGGTTTTACCATTGAGTTGAATGGTGAGAGAGGTGATTACTTTAGAAGCTTTAAAGCATTTAGATAGGAGGATCCTCTCTCCCCTTTGTTGTTCAACATAGTAGCTGATGCTTTATCTGCTCTTCTTTCTAGAGCTAGTAGAGCCTATAGGTGGTCTGGTAAGGGTTTAATCCAAGATTTAGTTGAAGGAGGTCTAACTCATTTGCAATACGCTGATGACATAATCATATTCCTCCATAATACAGAAGAGAATCCGCATGCCCCCCCCACCGCCCTCCGCACCACCCACGCTGCCCTTAGTATGACCGCGCCACGCTCCACACCGCCCACATCGCCGCTCTTCGGCTCCTGCGCCGCCTGTTCTCGAACGCCTGTGACACTGCACCTCGCCACCAGTTCTTGGATGCGGGCTCGCGAGGACCGTAACAGGTGCAGATGGGGACAGCGGCGGCTATGGAGGGAGCCCGATCTGCTGATGAGAGAGACGAGAAAAGAGACGGCTGGTAGTGGGAGATGCCCAATCCAAAACCCTAAGTCCTTATGTACGCAATACTTGTAATGGGCCGGCTCTTGAAGTCCAAATGAACCCATATCTAATCCATGATGTTTTCTAAATACGTCGCCTAGAAACCGTCATATACCATCATATTTGTTGTAGTGTTGGTGCTTGCGGTGCATGCCTCGTCCCACTGCTGTAGCTGTAGCTCGAGACGGAGGTCGCCACCATCCGAGTACGCCCGAGGCCGCGCTTCCTCACCTTCCCCGTGCACTACGCGCTTGCATGAAGAACGCTCATCCTAGGTGGGATGAGCTGGTCCGCCAAAATTTTCAGGGGCATGCTCGTTTCGCATCTTGAGCCTATGCGTGACTTCAATTTCAAATGCCTCCAAAACAAGTTCGTCCCACCCTATTCCTACTAGTCATCCTAACCAAACACTACCTTAGTCACAAAGTGACTCTGAGTTATAGTGGTAAGAAAGCAACTTGTGAGGCCTCAGGCTGTGAGTGTATTTCATGTAAAAAATATTGATGTTGGTGGACTTTTCTATAAACTTAATCATAATTAGAGAAGTTTGATCTAATATGATCTATAATTTTAAAAATTGATGTATCTTCTAATTAAGAGCGCTATGATGAAATTTAATTGATGGGCAACTCCATGAGGCGGCTCCGATATATATTGTCATTTTTTAGATCATAGTATAGACGTAGATACTTTTACATGTATGCATACTGACTCCTATGAACATATGCACACACCTCCGAGAGATTGAGACTAAGTCTTTAAATCTCGAGATTGACAAAGTCACTACAAATATATCTCGCTACCAATGGGCAATTCATCTATCAAGAACAACACCATTAAATTATAGAATATAGCATCTATAAATATATACCACCTAATACATGTACTGCTAGTTAATACTACGACATGTTATGTTAGGCTCTTAAGGAATCACGCCGATGGATGGAAGACTACTATTTGATGAGTTGGTCCATCACGGAACAACCATAGTAACCATTGTTCTGTTATCATCAGCGTGGTTGCATCTTCGGTACCACCTAGTGAGGTCGTAATGATGATTGATTGATGGACAATTATGGTTTTCATTCATGTCTCTGTTATAGATCTGGTTTCGGTTTTCAAAGGATGAGCAACAAGGTAAGAACAAACTAGTATGAATCGGCTTTGATCGTTGAGTGACACTTAGTTTATTATATATGTTTTGTTTTTCTTTTGACCGTACTAAAGAGAAATCCTTGAGTTTTCAAATGAGTAAAGTACGTTAGCGGTCTTTAAACTTGTTAAGTTGTGTCGATCTGGTTCCCAAACTATCAACTCACATGTTTAGCTCCCTAAACATTGTTTGTGTTTCGTTTTAATCCCTAAACATTGCCGGGCTAGCAAGGTGCAACACCTCATGTTTGTTTTGGCTAGACGGGCATCAGCCATCAAGACAAACTCGCACGATCCGTAAAGCAACAAAGACGCTGCATCTAGAAGAACGAGATTTCCTTTCGTTCCTACCGAGCCGGGTTCTCTACGAGCGGTAAGATGATGTTGCGATCGCCTTCCTTACTGTCACCTCCTCCTTCCAACCTCCCTCCAGTTGTGCCATGCCTTTCGTCCACCCCTGTAGTGTAGGCGGCGGTACAGTTGACATCCCAAAGATCCATGGGGCTGAGGGCGCCACCCGCCACGAGATCTCCGCCAAGACGAGTAGTTGCCCTAGGTAGGGTGTATTTAGTTCGTGAAATGAAAATTTTTGGATGTCACATCAGATGTTTCGGAGGATGTCGGAAGGGGTTTTCGGATACTAATAAAAAAACTAATTACATAGCTCGTCTGTATACTGCGAGACGAATTTATTAATCATAATTAATCCATCATTAGCGCATGTTGGTTACGGTAGCACTTATGGCTAATCATGGCCTAATTAGGCTTAAAACATTCGTCTCGCGATTTCCAACAAAACTGTGCAATTAATTTTCTTTCGCCTATATTTAATACTCTATGCATGTGCTGCAAGATTCGATGTGACACTTTGAGGTGAAATTTTTTTTGAACTAAACAGGGCCATAGCATGTCCCATTTCAACATGTCTCTAGCCATCAATACGAGACACTCTGCTCAAGAGAAAACAAACCAGCCCTAATTATTTTTGAACTGAACCAGCCCTAATTATTTGCGGAGAATCTGCTCCGACCAACCCTTCCAAGCTGTCCACGCCACACTCGACCACATCCACCTGCGGCTGCCGCCGTTGGCTCTCAACCTCGCGGTAAATACGTCGTTTCCATTCCTGGTGGAGGCGGGCCCCGGGAGTCAACGCGCCCCTCTCAGCTCTCGCTTTCCCTTTTTCTCTCACCGCGCGGCCGAGAGCGGAGCCGATACGTGTGGTCCCCTACCCGCCCACGCCCGCTCGGGCAACCCTTCCCTCCCCAGAAAAGGGAGGAGGAAGGAGGAAGCGCGCCGCTCTCCAACACAAAGCCACAGCTCCCCCTTTCCGTTTCTTCCCCCGCTTCCCTCCCCATGGCGGCCCGCGAGGCCTCCGCCCCGGCGCCGGCCCCCGCAGGCGACGGGCCGAGCCGCCCGCCGCGGCCCACGCTCGCCCTGCCCCCGCGCTCCGCCGTCGAGTCCCTCTTCGCCGCCGGCGCCTCCTCCTCCTCGGCCGGCGCCGCCGAGACCAGCCCCGGCCCGCTCACCCTCGCCGCCGCGCTCTTCCCCGACGCGCCCTCCCCGGCCTTCCACGGCTCCTTCACCCAGCTCCTCGTCGGCGCCATAGGCTCCCCGGCCGCCGTACCCTCGCCGCCCTCCCCGTTCGCCGTCCCGCCGGGGCTCAGCCCTGCCACGCTCCTCGGCTCCCCCGGCCTCTTCTCCCCAACGGTATTCCCTCAACCCCGTCTACGAATCGGACCACCTCACGCCCTCACCGCTGGCTTGCTGGTTGGTTAGCTGGCTCGCTCGCTTATCTAGTTGTGCTTGTTTTTTTCCCCCCTTGTCTGCCGCGTCAATGCGTCATGACTCATGAGTAGTACCACTGTACCAGTACCATTTGATTAAAACCGCAGGGAATATGCTTCCTACTACTATTACTGCTTCCTACTAGTGTCGCGGATTCGTGAGGGGAATACGGCATGGAGGGTGCGTACCTTGGACCCGCCCTGGGAGATCTGCGGCCGGCAGTGGAAAGGTCAAACTGGATTATAACTAACTCGTGCCATACCCGTGGTCCTGCTCAGTACTCACTACTTTGGAATGCTGTGCGCTACTGTTCCTGATGCGGGACATGTTGTCAATGATCTCTCTGGACTTTAGCAATTTGTTTTTTGCGATTACGCTCATATACTTCTTTTCCTTGAATAGTTGATGTCTGTGGAGAAGTCCTGTTCTCCCCTTGCAGCATCATTTACTTTGGTTAACATGAAAATTGTAATATCTCATTTAGGAGCAGTCATGGAAATGGAACCTCGTTAGTTTTTTGCTTAAGAATTTTGTAACCTAGTTACGCCTATTACACATGGTTTCCACTTTTCCTCCTCTGCCATGTATACATAGTTTGTGCCATGGGTTTCTTGAGTTCACTGTGTTTTTTAAATTCTTTCAGGTAACAAGCCAACGAAAAGATATAGGTGCCTCAGGAACTTAGTATTCAATTACGAAAAACTTTTTATGGGTTGTCGCACTCTTCTGATCATGTGATATATGGTGTCGTGTGGTGAGCGAATCGACACCTTCCGCACAATGATGGATAAGTCTCATGTGTTGCTGGTCTTTGTGGGGCTGTGTTGCTCACATGGTCCTTGTGGCTGTTTTTCTGTTTTTAGGACAACATCTTAGACTAGAGGACATCATCTTAGCTAGGACAGCATATTAGCATCTTAGACTAGCATCTTGGCATATGCTTGGCTGGCTAGCAGCCTATAAATATGTAACCCCAACCCCTCAGGTTGGTATGACATTTGTGTGAGTTTGTGTGAGAAATAGATAAGAAAATTGCCCCAACTCCTAGTGTCATCCTCTCTCGATGAGAGTAAAAATTCTCCTACTATCAAGAGTGAGAATTCAAATGACTAACAACTGTATCGAGCCAGATTATCCTCAGAGCTTTGAGCATCTCCTCGCTCATCTCCCTCCCACCACACACAACAGCCCAAATTGCGAAAGCAAGCAGCCTCGGTCGCTCTGCTCACTCTCTCCCAGCAGCAGACGCGGCAAGAACTGTCTGGCACTTCTCTCCCCACGCAGCAGCCCCCCCAGCGCGTCATGTCCGCAGGGCGCCTCTCGGCCTTCGGTCACCTCGAGCACGCCGCGTCGGCGAGGAGGTCGAACTTGCCGCGGCAGCAAGCAACGGAGCGAAGCGGCGGCAGAGACAACCCGCGGCAAGCGTAGGGCGCGAGGGCCGGCAATGGCGAGCCGGCAGCAACGAGAAGGCGAGGCGAAGGCGGCGGCGGCGAATGTAAGCGCGTCTGGCGGCGCAAGAACGGAGGTCGAGGCTTCTGCGCAGCAAAGATCGGCAGCTCCATTTCACCGACGACACCGCCCGACGCGACCTCGAGCTGCTAGAGAGGAGAGCAAAGCGCGAGCGCGAGCGGCGGCGGATGGCGCCAAGCGCCCGCGAAAGCGTGGCGGCGGCAGCCAGACAGCGCGGACGCTACCGGCGGCGCTCTGGAGGAGGCGGCGCGCGCGGCGGTGGCGCTCTGGGCAGCCGCGACGCCACGACGCCCGCAGCGGCGCTGAGATAGCGCGGACGCGCCGCGGCGGCGCGCTGGAGGAGGCGCGCACGGCGGCGGCGCTCCTGGAGGAGGCGCGCACGGCAACGGTGGCGGACGGGTCGATGGAGAGCGCGGCCTTCACAGGCAGCGTGGCTCTCTCCCCGGATCGGTACCGACGGGTCGATGGAGAGCGTGGCCTTCACAGGCAGCGTGGCTCTCTCTCCCCGGATCGGTACCGAGGTTACCACGGGCTCTAGGTCGTTGTCGGGGACGCGGTCCCGACGGTGGGTGGCCTACCTCACCAAGACCAACTACGCCGAGTGGGTCTGCGGTGATGAGGTAAAGCTCCAGTGCGACACATGTGGGAGGCGGTCCGGTGACGGGCGACGTCGACTACGACCTAGATCGACGGGCGCCGGATGCTCTCATCGCCGCAGATCCGCTTTGAGATGCGCTTCTCTACTACCGAAGCGGATCGCCAAGGAGGCTTGGGACGCCATCGCTGCGCAAGACGCATCGGCAGCGGCGACCGCTACCGCAAGTCCACACTATGTGCACTTCACAAGGAGTGGGAGAACACGCCCTTGAAGCCGTGTGAGGGCGTTGATGACTTTGCTCTCCGTCTCAACACTCTATTGCGAAGATGGTGCGATTCGGCGACGACACCTATGGCGAGGAGAGAGTCGTCAAAAGCTCTTCCGCTGCGTCTCCGAGAAGTACAAGCGGATGGCTCGCTCGATCGAGTCTCTGTTGGATCTCTCCACGATGTCGATCGAGGAGGCGATAGGTCGCCTCAAGGTCGCCGGCAACGATGAGCCACGATCCTCTCTCGGGGCCCATCACCACCGGGCGGAAGCTCCTTCTCACTCGGGAGCGGTGGCTTGCCGCCAAGGTGACCGGAGGAAGGGAGCCTTCTTCCGCGACAAAGCGGACGCAGCGTGGCAAGCCGCGCAAAAGCGCCAGCAGAGACGCCAGTCGGGCACGCGGACGTGTGCCGAGGGTGATGCCAGCGCGCGAGGCGCCAGGCGCGCGCCACGGCAGCACAAGCCGCACGCGAGACGACACTCGCCGCAATCGCGCCACCTTTTGCCATTGGGCCAAGGGCTCGTCGACAACCACGACGCGGCGGGCCCACGTCGCCGCACAAAGCGAGGAGGAGCCGGCTCTCGTTCATGGCACATGCCAAGATCGAAGCTACCTCCAATGCACCGGCCGCAGCTGCTCTCTCTCCACCTTGACGAGCCAAAAGCACACGCCTCCTCGGCGACAGCTCCGCAGAACGACAAGATCGACGGGTGGTGCCTCGACACCGCGCCACCCATCATCACATGACCGGTCGACGGAGTTCTTTACCGAGCTTGACTCTAGCGTCCGAGGCTCCGCAAGTTTGGGGATGCCTCCGGCGTGGAGATCAAGGGCGTCGGCTCCGTCATCTTCACCATGCGTGTCCGGTGAGCACAGTCGCTCACCGGAGTCTACTACATCCCCGCGTTGAGGAACTCCATCATCGCCTTGGGACAAATTGGATGAGAACGGTTCGCGCGTGGTGGTTGAGGACGGAGTCATGAGGATTTGGGATCGCCGTCGTCGCCTTTTTGCCAAGGTATCCGAAGCGCAAATCGACTCGTCCTTAACGTGCGGGTGGCACAACCCTCCGTCTCGCCGCTTTCGTTGGGACGACGAGGCGTGGCGATGCACGCAGCGTTTGGGCACCTTTTCACTTTGAGGCCCCAAGCGGCTCGAAGGCCCGCGGAGATGGTGCGAGGCTGCGCCGCCTCGACCATGTGGAGCGGCTCTGCGGCGTCTGCGTGTTGACGGCGGGCGACTCCCCTTTCCACAATGGGCTAGCTTTCGAGCCAAGGAGAGGCTCGAGCTTGTGCCGCGGGACTTGTGTGGCCGGTGACACCGGCCACACCGGGAAGACGACGCTACTTCCTGCTTTGCTCGTCGACGACCCTCTCCCGCTACATGTGGGTGATGGTCCTCGGCGGCAAGGGAGAGGTCTGCGGGCGCCATCGGTAGCAGCGTGCTCTGCGAGCGGAGCGCGGCCGCAGTCGCAAGCGTCTTCGCGACTTCGCCGCAACGACGGCGGCGAATTCACGGCGGTGGCTGAATTCGCGCGTCGTCTTTGTCGACGAGGGCATTCAATACCACTACTCCGTCTTGCGTCTGACCCGTAGCGAGCGGCGTCGTCGGCGGCGCAAACCGACGGTTGTGGGGATGGCTCGGGCCCTCCTCAAGCGAGGGGGATGCCCGTACGCCTTCGGGAGAGGCGGTGGTGACAAACGCTCTACATCCTCAACCGCTTCGCCTACCAAGGTGCTCGACGGCAGGACGCCGTCACGAGAGGCTTGGCATGGGCGCAGGTGGCGGTCTCCCACTTGCGGGTCTTGGTACGCCTCGCGTTAAGGAAGGAGCTTGGCCACATCAGCAAGCTCGACGACAGGAGCACTCCGGGAGTGTTCATCGGCTACGCGGAGGGCTCGAAGGCCTACCGCATCCTCGACCCGAAGACACAGCGTGTGCGCACGGCGCGCGACGTTGTGTTCGACGAAGGGCGAGGATGGGCGTGGGACAAGGCGGTGGACGACGGCTCGGCTCCAACGTACGACGACTTCACTGTCGAGTACGTCCACTTCGAGGGAGCTGGGGGAGTAGGCAGCTCTTCTTCGGCGAGCGCGTCTACCCCAGTCCCTGAGTCTCCACCGACCCCGGCGCCTGCTACTCCGACAGCACCACGCTCTCCAGCCAGGACCTCGGCTGCGATGAGTTCTTCGCCGGCTTCACCACAGCCGGCAACGCCACGCACTCCAGCACCGACAGGCACCTCTCCGGGCACGTCTACTCCAACACCAGCTCGTGTCGAGCACAGCCCGGTTGAGCTCGCTACTCCGCTCTCTCACGACGAGGAGCGCATCGACGCGTACCACGACGGCGAGCTGTTGCGGTACCGTACGATGGAGAACCTTCTCGGCCACCAGTTGGTGCCGGGACTGATGCCTCACGACCTGGAGGACCTGGAGGCGCAGTTGCACCTTGCATGTGACGACGGCGAGCCTCGGTCGTTCGCAGAGGCCGAGAGACACGAGGCATGGCGCGCCGCGATGCAGTTGGAGATGGATGCGGTTGAGAAGAACCGCACCTGGGAGCTTGCTGACCTTCCTCGTGGCCACCGCGCGATCACCCTTAAGTGGGTGTACAAGCTAAAGAGGGATGAAGCCGGCGCCATCGTCAAGCACAAGGCTCGCTTGGTGGCACGAGGTTTCGTGCAGCAGGAGGGGGTCGACTTCGACGACGCCTTTGCTCCCGTGGCACGGATGGAGTCCGTGCGACTCCTTGCGCTAGCTGCCCTGGAGGGCTGGCGCGTTCATCACATGGACGTCAAGTCGGCGTTCCTTAACGGCGACTTGAAGGAGGAGGTCTACGTGCACCAGCCGCCGGGATTTGCGATCCCCGGCAAGGAGGGCAAGGTACTCCGCCTGCGCAAGGCCCTCTATGGCTTGCGGCAGGCACCGAGGGCGTGGAATGCCAAGTTGGATTCCACGCTAAAGGGGATGGGCTTCGAGCAAAGCCCGCACGAGGCGGCCATCTACCGACGGGGCAATGGAGGAAATGCCCTGCTGGTGGGTGTCTACGTCGACGACTTGGTGATCACCGGCACCAAGGATGTGGAGGTGGCGGCATTCAAGGAAGAGATGAAGGCCACCTTCCAGATGAGTGACCTGGGGCCTCTCTCCTACCTGGGAATCGAGGTGCACCAGGATGACTCTGGGATCACGCTTCGACAGACCGCCTACGCCAAGCGCGTCGTTGAGCTAGCTGGGCTCACCGACTGCAACCCAGCTCTCACTCCGATGGAGGAGAGGCTGAAGCTGAGCCGCGACAGCACGACGGAGGAGGTGGATGCTACGCAGTACCAGCGTCTTGTGGGGAGCCTTCGCTACCTCGCCCACACACGGCCGGACTTGGCATTCTCCGTCGGCTACGTTAGTCGGTTCATGTAGCGACCGACGACGGAGCACCAGCAGGCTGTGAAGAGGATCATCCGCTACGTTGCGGGGACTCTCGACGCCTCTACTACCCGAGGTGCCCTGGGGCGGCACACTTCATCGGGTACAGCGACAGCGACCACGCCGGCGACATCGACACCAGCAAGAGCATGAGCGGGATCCTCTTCTTCCTCGGCAAGTGCCTCGTTAGCTGGCAGTCGGTCAAGCAGCAGGTGGTGGCCCTGTCCAGCTGCGAGGCCGAGTACATAGCGGCCTCCACCGCTTCGACTCAGGCGCTCTGGCTCGCTCGACTGCTTGGTGATCTCCTTGGCAGAGACACTAGAGCGGTGGAGCTCAGGGTGGACAGCAAGTCCGCTCTGGCCCTGGCAAAGAACCTCGTGTTCCACGAACGCAGCAAGCACATCCGGGTGAGGTACCACTTCATCCGAGGCTGTTTGGAGGAAGGGAGCATCAAGGCGAGCTATATCAACACCAAGGACCAGGTTGCGGACCTGCTCACCAAGCCCCTTGGGAGGATCAAGTTCCTTGAGCTCTGCTCCAGGACCGGGATGGTTCAACTCTCCCACAAGACGACGCACAAGACTTAGGGGGAGAATGATGGATAAGTCTCATGTGTGGCTGGTCTTTGTGGGGCTGTGCTGCTCACATGGTCCTTGTGGCTGTTTTTCTGTTTTTAGGACAGCATCTTAGACTAGAGGACAGCATCTTAGAGGACAGCATCTTAGACTAGAGGACAGCATCTTAGTTAGGACAGCATATTAGCATCTTAGACTAGCATCTTGTCATATGCTTGGCTGGCTAGCAGCCTATAAATATTTAACCCCAACCCCTCAGGTTGGTATGGCATTTGTGTGAGTTTGTGTGAGAAATAGACAAGAAAATTGCCCCAACTCCTAGTGTCATCCTCTCTCGATGAGAGTAAGAATTCTCCTACTATCAAGAGTGAGAATTCAGCGACTAACACACAAAAAGTGGAAAATGAGTGCTATTTAAAGGATCATCCATTTATCAAAAACAAATACCCTATTCGACTTCCAGTTCGTGCCACTTGGTTCAAAACTATGTTTTAAGATGATATAATTGAAGATTGTCAAATGCTATATTTACATTAAGAGACCAATTTATGCAACTAAAAACTTTTCCCTCTACTGCTTAGGCCCTCCACAATGTGTGCCTTGAGTGATGCCCAAAATAGAGGGAGAGGGTTGGGGTATCACCCCTAACGCTGTCTTCCCAACTGTGATGGCACAGGGAGAGCTTGAGGACGTTGAGCCCAACGTGGAGGGGCTGCAGCCAGTCATTGGTGGCGTGGAGGCCAAGCGCGAGTTGGTCATAGGTATCGTCATCATGGTGCATAACTGCAGATCGTTGTTGAGCATGGCCATAGAGCCCTTGGCGGTAGGTGGCTCAAAGCTGTTGTGTAAGAGCTTCAGTTCGTGCTCCCGATTGGCCTCTAGTTGGTGGTCCTCCTAGTGGCGCCATGGCTCCCTAGCATGTCATCTGGGCCACCATCCCCGCCAAAGGTGGCGCCGCCTTGTTAGAATCTGATACCCCTAGTTATGTGTAGTAGCCCCCATATCTCTGAAAGGGTATTGCCTGTATGACAAGCTTGCTGTATCAAGAACGACGTAGATGAATCTTGTAGAAAACCCTAGAAGATGATGTTGAAGCAACCACAATAAGAGGTTGGAATTTGGTGAAGCCGACCACAAATTCTATAAGCATAACTCCATGATTGTTGCTCTCTCACAACCCTACTTGACCCTCGTATTCTTTCCCTATACAAGAATCTAGTGCAATAGAACTGTCTACCCTAATTCTCTTTAGCGCTTCCAACTGCTCCTTACAAGCCTTGTGTTGGTTTGGTTGATGCCTGTGGCCTTCACCCCTTGTTTATGTGGTCCTCTCTAAGACTCTCATACACGCAAGTAGGAGTCCTATTCTGGTGGAAAGTCAGAAACAGCCCGCAGTAGTGGTGAACCTGAGCTGCCTTTCATGGACAGTTGGGAGAAGAGCAGAGCTGGTGCTTGTGAGGAAGACGAGAGGAGTTGTTGCTTCTATTTTGTTTTTATTTACCACATGTGTCCTGCCAGTGACACCTACATGTTGCAACCTTAAAAGCACAATGCCAGTTTTTCATGGTGGGGCCTGACTTATTTTTCCAACATGTCCATGCTGTGGAAGGCCATATAAAACTAAAACTCATTTGAATCAACTTAACAAAAGAGCAAGCTTTCTTTTGTTTATTTTTTTGAGGGAAAGCAAGCTTCTTAGTCTTGGCTTATGGGGATAACCATACTTGCAATACATAAGCTTATGTTGCTCAGTAAGTATGCATTGCGTTTGAAACCTGCAATATTTTGGTGATGGGAAATAAATTCCAAATGTGTTTTGCACACTGCAATTTTCTCTTTCCCAAGAACTTCAAATTTTGAATGCTGTGCATGAAACTGAGTGTCTACAGCTCCACATGCTTTGCGCTCATTCATTTGATGCTGTCACATCATTGTCATATAGTTTTATTTTATAATTGCGTCAGCAAGCAGAATAGATGACAAATAATTTTGTTTGATAATCTCAAGGATAGAGATATTTGAGCTTGGGTAGAAAGATAAAAAAATTTAGGTATATCGAAGTTTTTGATGCAGCTGCTACAGACTTGAAACAATCTCATAGAAATACTCTTGTAATTAGAGCACACAGTTTGAAGTGTTAGTTGCCAGTAATTGTGTTCTGGTGAAAGTTATAGTGATGTACAAACTCCGATAAACACATTGTTACAGATCTGTTGCATGCCAAGCATTTTCAGGTTACTCCTGTGTTTAAAGTCTTTGAACGTCTGTTTTTTTACTGTTTTTGGTAACAATTAGGTATTACATTTACAAATAAATATGCTAATGCTTTGGATTAAGTGTTATTATTATTTTTTCTGCAGGGGAGTTTTGAGATGTCCCATCAACAAGCCTTAGCACAAGTAACGGCACAAGCAGTCCATTCTCAGTACAATATGATAAATCACGCAGATTACGCTATTCCTTTTTCGTCGACAACGACACCAGCTTTGATCACAGCACAGCATGCCAATTCTTCTGCCAATGTGACATCAGCAGAGGAGAAACCAGCTCTGCCGTCACATACAGGTAATAGCAACATTGAATCAAATGAGGTTTCACAAGGACTCAAAACTTCTGCACCCACTTTTGATAAACCTGCTGGCGATGGATACAACTGGCGGAAGTATGGCCAGAAGGCAGTTAAGGGTGGCGAGTATCCAAGGAGTTACTACAAATGTACCCACGCGAGTTGTCCAGTTAAGAAAAAAGTGGAGCGCTCAGCAGAAGGACACATCACTCAAATAATTTATAGAGGCCAGCACAATCACCAGCGTCCACCAAAAAGGAGGTCCAAAGATGGTGGTGGTCTACTAAATGAAACAGATGATTTCCATGAGAATGAAGACACTTCAACTAGATCAGAACATGAGGGGTCAAATGATGGCATGGCAGGGCCTTCAGTGTCAAGAAGGGGAGAGGGAGATGAGCAATTGTCAGGCTCAAGTGATAGTGATGAGGAGCGAGATGATGAACAAAGGGCAGGCAATGGAGATCCTGGCTATGCAAATGCAAACAGAAGGTGGTTTCTATCATGACCATTTTTTAACAAGTTTTTCAAGATTCGATCTATAATCACTAGTTTTATTGAGCAGACGTGTGCCAACTCCAGCTCAAAGGATAATTGTGCAAACAAACAGCGAGGTTGATCTTCTGGATGATGGCTATCGATGGCGCAAGTATGGACAGAAAGTGGTAAAAGGGAATCCCCACCCGAGGTAACCACTTTTTTTGCTTTGACTTGTTCTCTGTCTTATTTGACTGGATCTACTCTGCTGTGAGTTAGAACTTGCTTTGAAAACAACATTTTTAATTGGAGAAATTCTGAGTGGCGACATTCATCGTTGATCCCTTCATGATTCATTACCAGTATGTAATTCTCGATGCATGATAATACCAGTGTTCCGCTAATCCTTAAATGATTACCAACATTGCAGATTATTACACAGATATGATATAGGAATATACATGCTCTTTCTATATGGTTGTTTAACAAATGGTTTGTATTAGTGTCCTGCTATTTTTGTTAGAATACATCATAATACAACTGGTGTACAAATGTAATTTGTTCTTTAGTGTGAAATCATAGGCTGTTGGCATACAGTAACGTACCTGCTTTTATTGCATCTAGTATTATATACGAGGATTTGCTTCCTTAGTCTTCTTGAAAAGAAAAGGAATGCATATTAAAGGATTACTAGCTCTTAGTCAGTAGGGGTAAATCTATGATGAATTTTTTATTTTAAGAGTTCCTGTACAGAACCCAAAGTTATGGAACTGTAACAGCCTTCCATGAATCCACCCACTGTTTTAGTAACAAATGAGATCATTTGATACTCATGTAAAGCCCGAACATGTACATCACTGCTCAATGGTGCAGCTCTTAGGGACTGGCACAATGTCACATCATAGCCTGCATCTTTTAAAAGTTAATCTCAATAAACCTGGGCGATGTTGCAGTTGCTGAGAAAAAACTGACACTATTTCTCTTATCTTCGCTGCATTTACCTTTAGTCCATTTCTTCGATGTTCAGTTAGAACCTTTCGGGATTCCTTTTTCTTTGGGACCAGAAAGGATCTTTCAGAAAGTGGTAAGCTTTAGTCCCTCTGATCCAAGATATGTCGTTTTAGTACCTGTGTCATCAAACAATTTTAACTTTGGCCATCAGTAAAAACTACTTTTCACGATATTCTTTTATTTAAATGCATTTCACCCTAGAGACCGTGCCAATGAATTTTATTTGGGGCCTTGCCCCTATCAGTTGACTGAAGTTAGAGAATATTTCAGTGAACAGCTTGAGCTAGTTGGATTCAAATCCAACGTGCCATGTTCTTTCTTCAACATCTAGCACCTCCTCACTCTATCTTCAAACAAATCGGCACTAATGATCATCACTCCCTGCCTTGTTGACTGAAATTTTGCTGCAGGATGTATTATTTTTGCACTGATGAAATTTTGTCATATATTCAGCTGTCTATTCTCCTATTTGAAGTTGAACGGGGAATTTTTTTAGTTCCTTGGTAAAAAGTGGACAGGATAAACTAGATTTATGGGCTCAATGACTTGTTCAAAGTGCTGATTTAGCTCTCTTAATAAGCCTTGTGCATAAACAATTCTGATAAGAATATTTGTTGATGTACTTATGTAACTACTTTGCTCAAATTATCAAATTTCATGTTCAAATTCATCACCAATTAGGAATTACAAATAAGTTCTGACAAATACCAAACAGGAGGAGAAAGAAGAATAAAAACATTTACAGTTTATGCTAACTTATCACTTTTACTCTTCGAGCATTTTTTGAGTTCTTTTATTTAGTGAGGTTTGTGCATGTTCGCCAGATGGGGCTTGTGGACGGTAGACACTAGCTGGAAGATCTGGACTTTTTAATACTCTCTCTGACCCCAAATATAATTCCATTTAGCCTTTTCCCTAAATGCAGCAGATAAGTCAAATGACTCCAATGCATCTTTTTCCTTCATTCTTCCATGTGTATTCTCTACTTAAATGAGCAATAATCAATGTGATACACTTGCCTCCCATCTTAACTCTAGCAATGATTGATGGGCAATATAGTCATTGTACCTCTCACCTTAATCCTTCTTTACACATACTTGTTAACAATAACAATTCACAACTAAAATATATGGCTTGACCAACAGCAGTGAACAATTCAAAAGGATAAGTAAGGATAATATTTTGATCAATTTAGTCATCGGTTCTATCTGATTATGATTTGTTTGGGGGGATTTGCACGGAGAAACAATTTTAGTTCCATTCATCCTTCACCTATCTACTTTGTTTGCACTATGTAGGAGTTACTACAAATGCACATACCAAGGGTGTGATGTGAAGAAGCATATTGAAAGATCATCCCAAGACCCAAAGGCTGTCATAACAACGTACGAAGGGAAGCACAGCCATGATGTTCCAGCAGCCAGGAACAGTAGCCATGCTGCTGCCAATGTCAATGGGTCATCTTCCACCAGCTTACTACCACACAGGGTTCAGAGTTCAGCATCCAGTAGCCGCAGAGTGGCAGACTTGCAAAACACATCATCAGCTTCTTCTATGCTACTAAAAGAGGAAAATGAAATAACATAGAGTTTTGGAGTGTGTAGCAGGGTAAATTATTTCTGTTCTCTCATCCATTTCCTAGGTGTGCTGCTTCACGCTCCGCACCGCAGCAAAATTGGCATTGTAAGCCCCAGCCATTGGTTTTAGTCAAGAGCGTGCTCGTGCTCTTTCGTTTGTGCCCGGCCAAAAGCCTGCACACCCTGTTTGGCTGCGTGGTGTATGTTATGTTGTCATTACGCCCATTGGTTGTAAATGCCATCAGTCGTTCCCCCGGAGAACTATAGTACATGACAGCTTTCATCGGCCCAAGTGTATATACTCGATTTAAAACCTTTAACTGAGATATGGTTTGTAGATACACGGCTTCCTTCCTGGTCTTTGTAAGTGTTATTTCGACAGGATATATGAAGTTATAGTTGCTGATGACTGATTTGCCGTTGGCCTCTGAAGCTGCAAGCTATAGTTGAAGCCATTGAGCAGCAACGGAAATTTCTCAACATGTAATGTTATGGAATTATTCCTTTTATGATGTATAATTCTCATATATGAACTAAACCTAGCTCGGCTGGTGGAAGGTGTGGCGTGGGTCTGCCATTCTACTGTTCAAGTTTGATTACTTTTTTAACTCAAATTTGGTGGAAGGTGTGGCGTGGCCCTGTTCGCTTCGCTGAAAAAATAAGCCGAAACTCTGTTCCGGCTGATTTGTTGTGAGAGAAAAATACTGTTCTGGCTGAAAAGTACGGATTATAAAAGAAGCGAACATGGCTTCTTCGTAAGTTATAATGCCACCTGGTCTCTTCTGGATTTGTTGATTTTCCTTTAAATACAGTTCTCATGTAAGTTCATGCGAGATTTGTGGATATATCTATGGACTGGTGATTTGTCTTGAAGGACTAAGCGTGCTTGTATGAGCCTGTGACAAGTTTGAAAAGAGGATTACAATGTATTCGGAGATGATATCTACTCTTTTCCAATAACGGAGAAACACATTTTTCATCCATGAGAAAAATCAGGCTGCGATGATGATCTAGGAAGGTGGAATAGACTTTTTCCATCCATGATTTGGCAATCTTCTTGGCTTCTTGTCACCACTGGTTGCCTGCGGCCCGGGCTAATCATAGAGGAAGGAAATCGAAGGACAGTATCTCAACAGTGAGGAGGAAGAACATCTTCCTAACCTGTTCGTGTTTCTGAAATGTTTTCTTGATTCCCTATCTATCTCCAGCTTTTATCCCTCGGTCCCTAAATATTTGTTGTTTTCGCTTCATGAGAAACAACTTTGACTAAATATATATAGAAAAATATTAATATTTATGGTACATAATTAATATTATTAGATTAGTTTTTTAATAAATTTATTTGGAGATAGTTACTCCCTCCATACCTAGATTAGTTATCGTTTAGGACATGATTGTGCTTATCAAGGAGTGATTAATTAGGGGGTATTTTTTCTCCTTTGCCTTTATTAAATAGCACTACGGGTGTCACCTTTACAACAATCTTGTGTAGCTCGAGTGGCTAGTCCGTCGCGGCGTGAGGTTGGGCGTCGACGATTCAAGTCCCCGTAGGTGTGCTTTATTTATGATGGCCGTAAGACATTTTGCATGGCACTGTGCTGGGGCTTGCTTGCATGGCGCTCGCTGGGTCGGGTGTGGGCGCGTTGCTGCTCATGCGCGCACGCGTTTTTTTTTCGGTTTCGAATGGCTTGCCTACAGCTCGTTCTTTGTCGCTTTTTTTTCGTTGGATGGCACCGTGCGTGCTCTCGTTTTCTCTAGGCGTCTGTCCATCTACCCCTTCCTATTTAATCGGTGCTTCATCCTTTCCATCTCAACCTCTTCTATTTCTATCTGTGCCGTGCTCCACTCTTTGCTTCTCCACTTCTTCTCTTTCCATGTACTGCAATGACTAATCCATTCGATTTGAACGTTCGTTTAGAAGATGACGACAATCTTCCATTCGATCTCAATGAGGCAATATTGGACGACCACACCACATATGGTAATGTACTCAGTTTGTTTGTTCTTTTTTTATATATTCAAAGCAACAATGTGTAGTTTTGTTTCTCATTTTCTTTCTGCTTTTTTGGACAGCGTTTGATTTGAACTTGCCACTAGACGAGTTTGGTGCGGTTGATTTTGATTATGTACAAAACCTGCCTTTTTCCTATAGCTAGTACATGCCGTGGCTAAGTATTATATGAATGTGCTTGTTTTATTCCTATAGCTACAACATGCCGTGGCTAATTATTACTATGAATGTGCTTATTTTTTTTCCTTTAGTAGAACAAGATGTTGAAGCTCCCGTTCAAGTAAACCATCCAAAGCATGACATTCCTAAAGAAGTTAGAAAACAAGTGTACCAAGCATTGTTGGCTAGAAGCAAGAATGGGAAACTAGGCAAGAAAGATACAAGAATTGTTGCCGATCAATTTGGAGTTCACATTCAATCGGTTCAGCGCAT